ATGCAGAGCTAAGCCTACTCGCAGGAAAAAGCCTGGTGGCCCTCACTGCGTTCTCTTCAAGGGTGGCTCTGTTGACCTTGATCGAGGCTTAAAGCTGTCGGGATGAGGGCCGTCACCTCATGCAAGATCGCCCCCCACCCAAGGCCTTTCCCAGCTTCTCTGTTTACCAGCAGAGGTACCAAAAGCTTTCTGGCAACCTCTCTGACCCAAGTTTCTCCACGGTTGAGCCAGATGCTTTGAGGCCGTTCAGTTTGACAAACACCCTGAACCTGGGCTGTGACCTGGCCTCTGGAGCTAGAATCTCCTCTGTATCTGTGGACTCTGTTCCTGAGAGACTGAGGTACCTGTCCAAGCTCACACAGCAAGCTAGCAGCAAGCTAGCCGCAGACGGGCCTTGTGCACACCCTTCAGACCCGAACCTGACAGGTGACAGGTACCTATGTGTAAGTCTTATCCCTCTCCACTCTCAGGTGCCTCAGGCTGCATCAGGAGCTCAAGGTCAGAGTGGCCTGGGGCCAGCTTATTGGGAGCTAGGGCTTTCCTGCCAGGGTGTCCCAGCAGACCTTGGCAGATGTGCACCCCACTTACCAAGAAGTAGCCTTAGGAACCCAGGTAGTATACCCCAGGGACAGGAGCTCACAGTCTTAGGTGCCAGGTACATGAACTTTCTCCAGTCGGAAACTACCCTTTGGCCCTGTTCCTGTACCACCCTGTGACTTCTAATCCAGGGCCGCAAGGCTACCCTCTGCATTCTGGGGTGATCGGGTCACTTGCTGACTTTCAGCTCTTAATGTGGCCTCCAAAGGTGGAGATGACCAGGGGTAGCCTGGGGATCCAAGGCAAGGAATGGCGCTGGGCAGGTGTCTGGCTGGCCTGTGTGCTTGTCACAGGCACAGCCTAAAGTTTTAGAGCCTGTTTGTGGGCAGATTCTGCAAACTTCCGGCAGGCCTGGTTTTGGCCAAGTTGAGGTTGCAGCATGATATCTTTAACGATATTCCAGAATAAACAGATCTTTATCTGTCCTGTTTCCTTAAAAAAGCTCATGGCCTAAGAATTTCGAATCATAGGCAGCTGTTTGGACGGTGGGGTAATCCCAGGCATCCCCAATAAACTGTTCAAATGATCAGAGTCACAGTTAGAATTGGAGGTGTCACAACTGGGTGACCCCATTTGGCAACACTGTGGGACCTGAGGTGCTGGTGGCCGAGATGCCCTCAGAAGGCGTTGGGAGCTGCTCATAGCCAGATTAAGGGCTTTGTTTTGAGATTCAATGACTCCTTGCCAGTCCAGATAGGGCCCCCGTGGACACGCCCCCTTCCTGAGCCCCACACTGTGCCCAGTCCCCTGTGAGTAGCCAGAAGTCCTCGTTCTTCTGATTGATTTAGCAGGGCTGACATTTCTGTGGCATGATACTGGGCCCAGGGTGAGGAAGTTTGCTGATTAGAGTTAGAGCTCCCTGTAGTTGAGAACAAAGGAAGAAAGGATGTAGGGCTTTGAGCCTCCAGTCTTGCTGCTTGGATCTGCAGGTGAATGGGCACTGACCAGCTAGGGAAGGGGGTCTGGAAAGGATCTGAGTCGATTTCCGAAGGACAGGGGAGAAAGAGGGCATGAAAGACACTGAGGAAGCCCCTCCTGTGTCCCACTGTCAGGGAGATGTAGAGGGAAAGACCAGGTGGGCTCCACCTGCTCCATCCAGGGCCAGAGGCTCTCTCTCCCCCACCTTTCCAGTCCGTGAGGCGCCCAGCATGGCTGAGCTCTGTCATGACTCTCACTCTCCAGCTTTCCACACTTGAGCTTTATTGAAGCAGCCATTGCTAATGTATCCATTACAAATGTGTCCTTGGACAAACACCCCATCTGCCCCCCCCCCCAGATGTCACCCCATCAGCCCAGGGCCAGCAGATCCCACCCCACCCCAACTCTAACCCTGGGAGAGGACAGAGTCCCTGGGGCTGCCCTGGATCTTCTCACATGATTTCCATCCTTCTATGGATGTGATAACACTCTCTAAGGCTTCCTTGAACATGGAGAAATCACTTTGCTCAATCGCACTGCCCTTGGATGAGCCTGTTGGCTAAATAAGAAACATAGGTAAGTCATCATCGTAGCAGAAAAAAAATGAATAAAGTAAGAGCAAACTCTTGTCATCCCAGCCACAAGTCTTGTGAGCCCCCGTTCCTAGGAGGTAACTCAGGGAGGACCTTTCTTTCTGCCACAGAGGAGACAGTAGGGGCCGGGTCTGAGGACCACAGTGGCCATGGAGAGAGAGCCAGCAGCATGTAGGCAGGTCCCAGGGCCAGCCAGGACAAGGGCAGCAGGACACGCAGGAGATGGGGGTACACAAAGGACCATGCAAGCAAAGAGAGAACAACCCAGTCATTTTCCCCAGAAATGCCCCCTGAACTACAGGACATTTCCCCAGCATGAGGTTTCTCAGCCCAGTGGTGACCCAAGGGCGGGGCAAACTGGAGCAAGCTCTGCCTGGCTGCCTGGCCCACCGGAGCCAGGCCCAAGGTGCCCTTCCCTGTCCCCGGGCAGAGTCGATAACCGGCCCGGCTCTGACTTATCTCAGACCTGCCTGCCCTCCACTGACCCTTGAGGGGGACGGGGACTTAGCCAGTGATGCAGACGGAAGCTCCCAGAACCACCACCTGAATCTGTTTCCTTGTGCCCAGCTTTTCACTCCCACCGTCCACCCACTGTCAGACTGGACTTCTTTGGGATTTGAGACAGTCCCAAAGAATAGCTATCTGTGGCCCAAGAGTGGCACCTAAAGCCTCAGGGGTGGCAAGTGATGCCCATAAGAAGCTCTTTGCCCCACTGGCTGTGGTAGAAGCAAATGTCAACTTCCCTTAACAGTGAATAGTAACTTACTTTCAGCTTTGGGCAGATTTCAGGGAGCTCCTTCATGTTTTGATAAACATTATTTATGTGCCTGTTGGCTTTGTTGTGATCTGTGAGGTTCTTCAGGGTAGAGGTGAAGAGCTCCGTAAACTCTGCACAGCAGAGCTCCTGAAAGAGGGTTGGGGGCACTGAGTAGTGGGAGTGCACTGTGGAGCACAGCTGAACCCCCACCTCGTCTGTCCCTGGCGACCCCGGCCTGGTGGAGCCCTGGACCCAAGCTCGGGCCGTGACCTGATTCACCCACAGGAGACCCATGAAAGCAGCAGATGTCTTGTCTCCTCCCTGGCCCTCACCCCTGCTCAGATGGTGCCAGAGGAGGCTGACAAAGCCCAGGACCTGGCCACTGGTCTATCTGTTGGCCAAGCTGGCGGGTCTGTCGTCACATTTTCAGTCTCCAGCATTGCCTGTTCTTTTCTCCACCCTTTTCTCCTCTCCCCCCTTCAGATATGGCTCCAAAGGCCCTTACCTCACTGGTGTTCTGGGGCCTGTTGAAGGAACCCTACAAGCAAGAGAAGTTGGTCAGAAACACAAAGGCCACCAGGACAGAATTTTGATGAAGATCCAGGCTTACCTTATATATCTTTTTGTCATCAGTGAGATCCCTCTGAATCTCATCACAGAGTGCTGTGAGGTTTTTTTCGGGAGTCACAGTGACTCCCTTCCTTGGTACAAAATGGCTTTCTGACCCCCAGAGCACACAAACCAGGAGCACGTATAGGTGCATGACACCCTTCGAAGGAGACTCCAGCCAATCTGAGCCCAGGCTCATGGCTTTTCTGTGGGAAGGGCACCTATTATATACATGAGTCTAAGGAAATGCAAACCTCTTATCAGTCATCAATGGCTTCTGAGGAAGACAGAACCTTATCGCTGGGCAAGATGTGCTGCTCGTGCATTTTTAATGACACAGCACACTTCATGGATCCTTGTCTTTACTGAAATTGAGGCTTGACCTGTGACTGGTGATTTGGAATCCATATGTGGAGTTGTGGCCTTTCTTCCTGAGTGTGGGCAACGTCTCTGGCCAGGGTGGGTGCCGTGTGCAGGTGCAGGACGGAGAAGAGGGAGCAACTGATATGGTGGGCACAGCTTCTGAGTGCCAGCAGGGCCTGCAGCTGCAGGAAGCGGCTTTGCCAGGCCCACGGGCAAGGACAGGGCTGGCCCCTCTGCCCCCGAGTAGACACACTCCCTTCCTTCCCTCCTGGGAGGGACACACAGGACTGGGTCCAGGGAAGAGGCCTTCAGCTTGGCTGTCATAGCAAGGAGACTGCTTTTCTCTTAGCCAGGTCATAGGTTTTAGAAGAAAGAACCTGTTGGATCTAAAACTTGATGTAAAAATAAAAACCAGTTCAGAAAAATGCTAGACTAGACTCGTGTTCCAGCACACTGGGAACTTACACTGTGACTCTCAAAGATTACGATCACACATTTGGGGGAAAGTTGGGTAAATATGCTGAGCTCTGACCCCTGTGGTTTGGTTTCTTTTTCTCTGAGTAGTTCGTTCATCTGCCGATTTACCTATAGAGTAGGGCATGAGAGGGCAGGGCCTGGGCCAGAGAGACAATGTCCCTTCTCTGGGTTAGACCCCCTGGGATGGCCCTTCTGTGGGCAGGAGCCCTTGGGCATCCCAGGAAGAGCAACTGGGTATATAGAACGCTGAACCCCGGCCTGGCCCTGACCCCCAGCAGAACCTCAGCTCCCTCCCCTACCACCCCACTTTTCCTCCTCCTGAAAATAAACCAGAAAAGGACACAAAATCAGACTTTGAATAATTTATTATGGCAAAACATCTTGAATAAATACAGGCTGTGAGCTTAAATAAATAAATAAATAAATATTTTAAAAATATAAATATATAAATAAATATTACAGATTCTGACCAGTATGAAATATCCTCTACCATGGCCATGTCAGGGTCCAGGTGGCACATGGCAGGTCCGTGCCAGCCTCGTCAAGTGGCTGCGGCCCACTCCTTGTCCCTCCCGGGGGAGATCCTGAGTTCTGCCTCTTTGGGGTGAGAGCAGCAACCTGAGTGGTGAGCTCCGAGCGCTGGCCCGGCTGCCCTGGGCTGCCTCACTTCTGCACTGGCTTCCAGCAGTCAAAAGGGATGGCAAACAGAAAGTCCTTGAGGTTCTTTTTGAAACTTTTGAAGGTGACAATCTGGGTCATACAGGAAGTTTCCTTAAGGAAAAAATGAAAAATAAAAAACACTTGAGGCCAGGTGAGTGGGTAACGTGGAGAGGCAGCAGCGCATTTCTGCATTGCCTCTAAGAACTCAGAGGCCAGAAGGCCCATTACTGGGGGTTGGTCAGGTGACATTGTTGCCACCCATGTGCTGCCCAGGGCAGCTGCTCGGCGGCTACACAGCTCTGCCGAGGGTGGCTGGGGCCGGTGCCCTGACAGCGTGCCCTCCTAAGCTGCCTCCTTGGTCCGGGGCCAGGGCACAGAGGTCGGGCAGAGGCCGCCACCCATCACCCAGACCTTACTCCCTTCCTTCAGGAAGAAGGGGTGTTTGGCGCCCTCATCCTTTCCAGGAAGTTCCTCCTCCTCGCTTCCATGCAGTCCAGGCGCCCCTCAGGAAAGTCCTGTCAGGAGGCAGCACTGGGCCCTGGCACTTCCTGCGGACCTTGGGCAGGCCCTGACCTCATTACTGGCAATGACAGAAGAACAAGGAGGGAGCAGCTCCCACGAGGGAGCACTGTGGGCTTCGGAGCTCCCTGGCTGTGACTCCTAGGGTTGAAAGGGTGCAGGTTGCTGCATTCCTCAGGGCTCCTCATTGTACATCTGTCGACACAGAAACCTCTTGGGTCCTGACCAGCCACAGCCTCCCCAGCCGCCCCCATGCTCCCAGCAAGGGCACTCACCGGGGTGGGGGGGCAGTGCTGCTTGTAGTGGCTGGCCAGCATGGCCAAGGAGCCCTTGAGCCTGGCCAGGCTGCCGCGCAGGCCCTTCTCTAACAGCTCCAGGCGGATCTGCAGGCACGTCGGCTCCTATAGAAAGTGCCCGTTTCCTGGTGAGCAGAGGCCACGCGCCAGCAGTGGCTGCCCTCCCATCACTCCTTCCTGTGCCATCCCCTGCCCCCAGGAGTAGGGCCTCAGAGGGGCACAGAATGATTCCTGACTAGTCTCAGGCTGGGCCCCGTCATACTGCTGCTCCGTGCATTGCAGACACCTGTCTGTCCTCCCTCCCTGCCTGGCTCAGGCCACCCTCAGCCAGCACAGCCACATTCTCAGTCAGACACCTCCGGAGGGTCCCAGCCCCCACTCGCCCCAGCATTCAAGGAGAAGGCGTGGGGCATTGCCCCAAATTGGCTCTGTGAGCAAGTGTTGCTTCTAGAACCCTCTCTCCACATGGCTTGGACTCGGGGTACAGTGAGTGCTCCAGGCCCACAGCCACATCTCGAGAAGACCCCACTTTCCTACCTGCCCCGTGGTGATCCTTAGCCTTTGAATGCTAGGCCTGCCCGTGGCTACTCAGCTGATAAAGGAACCCACAAGACCACCACAGGAGCAAGGCAGGTGGCACCCAGATGCTGCCCCCTCCTCCTGGCAGCCAGCTGACTGGCAAGAAAGTGGACACCCCTGTGAGGATCCATCTAAAATCCAGCCCCCCAGGACACAGGCCCTCAAGAGGAGTGCCAGAGAGAAGCATCTTACCTGGGGGTCAAACTGGTCATGGACAACTTCTACTGTTTCGTTCTGTAGAAAGGAAAACATCGCGTTACCAAGCTGACAGGAAGGGCCAGTGTGGGGCTGGCCGGGGGCCCAGGTGCAGCCCGCACTCTCCCTCACTCACCAGCACAGCATCAGGGTCACTAGTGTGGTTCAGGAGGCTCAGGGCTTCCTTGATGGCATCCACGTGTTTCCAGGGCCGGGTGACGGGGCTGGGCGGGAGGGTGGGTGCACAGATGCAACAAACCACAGTGCCAAGGAGAAGCAGGTTCTGCAGCCACATCCTCCTGAGGACTTTAGCCTTTCTCTCTGAGTACTGGGCTCACTGGCAGAAGAGCCCTTATATACACAGTTAGAGGAAATGATTAATGGTGACCACAAAAGCCAGGGAGGCGGGGGAACTACCTGAACTGTGGAATCTCCTGGCCCTTATCAGCTGCACGTGGGAACAACAGCCTTTTCCCCAGGTGGTCAGGCTTGGGGGTTTTCATTAATGAGCCCTTCCAAGAACCAACAGCCCACTGCCCACCTTCTCAAGGGCTCTCCAGCCCTGCCTGGGCACTTTTGTCTGGCCCTGGGCTGCCCCTCCTTTGGAGGAGCCTCTGGGCACAACTTGGACTTCCTGGCCTGGAGTGGCCAGGGTGGGGCTTGGGAGATGCTGGGTGGGGCTCCTGCTCCCTGACTCCCCATCCCGCCTGTTATCCCAGAGGTCTTTGGGCAGGTTTTGCCCACCCTCTGGCCATTCCATTCCCAGCCTTCCCCTCATCTTCCCGCCCTTTCTGCCCTCTGTCAGGCTTGAGTGTGAGCAGAGCTCTTGCAAGCCTGTCACTCTGTTCTCTTATGGTCCAGCCAAATGACACAGCCCTGCAGTGACTCACATGGGTTCTCTCCAAGGAGCCAGAGCAGTCAGTGAGCTCAGCCCAGCCGAGGATCACTGCCCCGTGAGAGGGCATGACAGCCAAGTGCGCATCCAGCGGGCAAGACTGCAGTGTGTTTGCTCCTTCCTTCATGCAGCAGCCCTTGCTTACATAGCCATGTTCAAGCTGCAGAGGTGGGCCAGGGCTCAGCCCCTGGCAAGTTTGACTCTTGGCTGAGGTGCCACCTGGCTGAGTGACTTCCTCTGAGCTGTGGAAGCCACACTGCCCCCTGTAGGGTGCCCTGGCCCTTGGACGTGGACATGCAGCCACCCCCAAGGCACCTAGAACCTTAGGGCTGGCGGCAGCACTGTGGCTGCACCCGTACCAGGCACAAGGGCCTACGGCTTCCCTAGCAAGCTCTTCCAGGTTTAATGTCCTGCACGGTCCCAGCTCCAGCCCATGTCCAGCTCCAGAGGCGCCTCTGTGGAAGCAGGAACTGCTTCTGGAACAACTACAGGCTCTTGAGGGGCTAACAAGTGTTTGGTTTTCACAATGGGTTCTGGAGAAGACAGCATGAGTTTGTATTTGCACAAGGGATCTGGCTCAAGCTGCCCCATGCTGGAACTTTCAAAGCCACAGGGCTGTGGGTCCACACATGTCCATTTCTGTGTGCGAGCGTGTCAGTATGGTGGGACTAGTCTGCACTCAGTTACATCTCGGAGGGGAGGATGCTTTACATTAGGGTGTATCTGTGTGACCCCGGATTCCTGTCAGGTGCTTTGCAAGAGGCTCCAGGGCTGTGGAGATGCCCCTCCGATGGGGAGAAGCTCCCCACTCTGGGTGCCCTAGTGAGGTCAGCATAAGTAAGGACGCTGTTCTGGGCCCTCAGCAGGTAGAACTCATGGCCTGAGCACTGTGGTCTGCATCTGTGGCCCAGAAAGTGTCACTGCAAGGTGAGGCTTCGCTCCCCTGCTTGGGAAAGCCAGGTGTTGGTCCTCCAGACCTCCGTGGGGTTCCCTGGCAGGGCTGGGGGCCCACCCTGAGACTAGCCCTGCCTTTCAGAGCCTAATGGGACACTCCTGGGTGGTCAGGCTGGATGTGGCCCTGACCCTTCCTTCACCTTTCCAGAGGTGCTATGTTCATTTCCTTCCAAGGAGCTTGCAGCGGACATGAAAGGGGACAGGGGCATCAGCTGCCAAAGCCACATGGTGTGGAGGTCTGTGTCAGGCCTGGAGGCTGGAGGTGGGGAGGAAAGCCATGGGCAGTGGCTAAGCTGGTAGCCAGCAAGAACTGGTGTGGCCCCTCTGGGATGGAAGGTCACCGAGCTCCTGAAAACGAGTCGCCACAGCTCCAACGGTGAGCGAGCCTTTCCCGTCTGTGCCAGACCCTGTGCTGGGAGGAGGCAGATGGGGCTCTCCCTCCGGCGTGCACATCTGGCTCTTGAGGTCCTCAGGCTGGCGGAGAGGTAGGCTGCAGTGGACCCTCCCGTGCTGTGGCCCAGCCTGGGGCGGGGAACCTTCAGAACTGAGAGAGCTCAAGGAATTACCTTCCCAGCTCTGGTAGCCAAGGGAACTGGAGGGATTCCTGGGACGCACAGTTTCCCTGTGATGTGAAAGAGCAAGGAGAAGTCGGGTGGGCGTGCTGGGCTGTGGGAGAGGGAGGAGGAGATGGGAGAAGAGCACTCGGGCCCAGAGGCCTGGGGTTTTACAGGCAGGTATGGTAGAGAAGAGAGAGAGTCTAGGCAGATTTAGGAAAGAGAATCCTGAAAGGACTCACTGAGGTAGTGGACTTACTCATTCACTCATTTCTTATTTTTTATTTATGCAGTACTGGGGATTGAACACAGGGCCTTCACATTGAGCTACAGCCCCTCTTCTCTCTCTCTCTCTCTCTCTCTCTCTCTCTCTCTCTCTCTTTCAGTTGAACCCAAGGCCTTCACACTGAGTCACAGCCCCACCTCTTTCTTTCTTTCTTTCTCTCTCTTTCTTTCTTTCTTTCTTTCTTTCTTTCTTTCTTTCCTTCTTTCTTTCTTTCTTTTTCTTTCTTTCTCTTTCTTCCTTTCTTCCTTCCTTCCTTTCTTTTTCTTTCTTTGTTCCTTCTTTCTTTTCTTTTCTTTCTTTTCTTTCTTTCTTTTACCAGGGATCGAACTCGGGTCCTTGCCCTTGCACAGCAGGTGGTGAAACCACTGAGCTAAATCCCCGGCCCCATTTTTTATTTTTAATCTTTTTTTTATTATCAGTATTACTTTAATATTATTTTAAATCTTTTAAATTTTTATTAGTACACGTTTGCAGTATATAATGATCACATTCATTGTGGGAATCAGTATTACTTTAAGTATAGGGTTCCTGAAGGGCATGAGGAGCTGCTGTGCCACTGATCTTTGCATGTTACTCTTTCAGTTTTCACTTCCAAACATTAGTGACAACATACTGCCTTGGAGCCCTTTGGCTGATAGAGACAAAGGTTGAATGCCTACCCAAATTCTCTGGTTTCCAGATTTCCATTGCCTGACGGGGCAATGAAAACAGCATATAGAGAGCTGGGGCATAGTTTTGGTGTCAGACTTCGGGAATAAAAATTTTTTTTTTTTTTAGACAGTTTTGCTGTGTAGTTCAGACTGGCCTTGAACTCACTGTGTAGCTCAGGGTGGTCTGGCCTCGAACTCTTTATTTTTAATCTTGAGACAGGGTCTTAGTCGCTAAATTGGCTGGGCTGGACTTGAAATCATGATCTTCCTGCCTCAGCCTCAAAGAGTGCTGGGATTACAGACGTGTGCCATCACATTCAGCTTCATTCATTTACTGAGCACCTACCAGGTTCTCATCAGGGAAGACAGATCCTAGGATGATGGGAAACCATCAGGCTCCTACTTCATGGGCGCTGTAACCCCACTGATGGAGAGCAAGGCCAGTCTACTCCCCCTGCCAAAGTGTGCTTTTGAGTAAGAGAATCACCGAAGCTCACAAGGGTGTGGACCCAGAGGACCAAGGGGCAGGTCCGCAGGGTCCTGGGGAGGGGTGGGGAGAGGGGAAAGAAAGCGAGGGCCACAAGGAGAGATCCAGGCCAGCAGCTCGGCCTGCCGATGAGGAAGGCAGCATGCACAGGGCAGAATCCTGGGTTTACCAGTGAGGTTTGTGGGCAGCCACACATCTTTCTTCTGGAAATAGGACATTGGGGCTGAGGCCGTGACACAGGCAGGCATTCCTAGATTGCATACATGGAAAGAAGTGGCAAGAGATAGATAACATCAGGTCGGCTGCGCTGACTCAGGTCCCCCAGTGGGGCAGAGGCAGGGGCCAGATGGGTGGAGTGACCGTCTTCGGCCCCCCCACAGGGTCAGGAGAACATCCTCTAGGAGGAGTTTTCTGTGAGCGTCCCTCCCCACAGGCTCTGGAGGATTCTTACCACTGAAAGAGGAAGTCATTACAGGGGAAGGAAACAGGTCCCCCGGGTCCCTCAGGACCCATCATCTCAGATGATCTGATTCTTCCTTGCGGAGGCCCTTGTCCTCAGGGCGGGGGGGGGGGGGGGGGCTGAGATCCGGGAGATCAGTGAGGCCCTTGTCGCCACAGTAGATGACAGCGGGGCCTGGATTCAAAGCTTAATCTGCTCCTCTCTTGTGATGGTTTCTACTACCCTGGGCATCAACATCAGAAATGCTGGTCACCTGGCTGGACTAGCAGAGGGGTGGACCAAGCAGGAGTGTCCCCTCAGGGTAGCTGTTCCTGAAGGGATAGTCCTGCTGGGTACTGACAGGGTGGCTGGAGTGGCCTGTGACTGCCCCAGGGACCTCTAGAGGCTGAAGGCAGGATTTCCCCCAGCAGATTCTGCCACCCAGGCTTGGGCTCTTGTCCCTTGTCAGCCACCACTGGCTCCCGCATAGCCCAGGAAAGTCCCTCCATCCTGACCTCACCTGCCTCATCTGTGCAATGGGTAAATTACCACTAGCTGTCAGTGGAAGCAGCTGCCCATCCCAGGAAACTTTGTGGGAGACTCCTCCTAGGATGAGGTGCTGCTCTGACATCTCCCACTCTGGGAGCTTCTGAAGGCCAAGCTGAGCAGAGGGCCCAGCCTTTCTGGGATTTTGGGGAACAGCAGCACCATGCCCACCCCTGCCTCTAGAGGGCATCTTTCTGGACAGACCTGGTGAGGTGGAGAGCCCAGCCACCACAGTTGGGGCTCATGGGGTCCTGCATCACTCTGAGGAGACCCTGGCACAGCACAGCACCCTCAGTGGCATCTCCTGCTCCAAGAAAGTGTTGCTACCTTTCCTGGCAGCACCGGACACCTGAGCAGCATCTCAGGCCTTTGCAGCCTCAGCTCCAGGCTGAAACCTCCTGTGCCCTCTGTCTTGGTCCCCAAAGGAATACCTCAAAAAAGTCGGGGCTGCCCTGGCCCAACTCCACAATGGCCTTGCTTCCTG